TATTGTTGTAATCCATAATATTTTAAAGAAAAAAATTACAGTACTAAATTATTAATTAGGTTCATATTAAAAAGAAATCATTTAAGATAATTTTGAAAAAAAATATAAATAAATAAATAAATAAAGAAGACAATCTTGGGAAAAGAAAAAAGAAAAAAAATGTAAAACCCAAAAAAATATGGGGGAAAAAATAAAAAAATGAGGGGAAAAACAAAAAATATAAATTACAAAACAGCAAAAAATAAAATAGAAAAAAACACGTGGAAAAAGCTATAGTACTTTCCCAAAGTATTTTAGAATATTTGTTAATGTGATAATATTTACAAGTGAATAAAATCACAACAAGTAGTAAAGATTTTTTTCTCTGTTTTTATTAAATTCATTTATAAAAAAATACATAATATATTTGTACTTTATTTTTATTAAATAATTTTCTTCAATAATGTGATAGTAGCAAATTGTTATAAAAAACAAATAATAAATGAAAGGTATAAAAAAAAAAGTTGATGGGATTATAGAGGCTCTATTTATTTTTGCATTTCAAAAGCATGTTGGAAAAAAATGAATTTTTTTCTTTGCTTCAAATTATTTTTTTTTATGTTTTTAAATTATTTTGATGTGCTAATATCAAAAATAATTTTAAAAAATTAAAAAATATATTATTTTGATATATTTCTGAGTGAAAAATATTTTAAAAAATATCTATAACTATATTTTCATACATGAGTTAACTATAACTATACTTTCATACATGAGTGTTAAAGGATTTCAAATATCTTATAAATGACTATCATTTGCTTGTTTTTCTATTTTTTATTGTGTTTCTTTTACTTTTCTTTTTTCTTTTTATTGTGTTTCTTTTACTTGTCTTTTTTGGTTTTCTTATAGGGTCATCCTTATTTTTTCTTGACTTTGTGAAATATCTTTTTTTAATTCGGATATGTCCCCTAATGCTTGGGTTTCTTAGGCACTTTTTTTTAGTACTTAGTGAAATCTATAGATGATCTAATTACAATTTATTAGTGTTGATTTTTTTATGACTGATGGTTTTCTTTCTTTTTTTAAAATTGATGCTTGCATGTCTTGGAAAAGACAAACCCCTCGTATAGATGGAGGGAGATGTTGAAGCCTTGAGTTTTGAAGATAATACCATGGATGCTACACAATAGCATTTGGAATTAGTAATGTGAACACGCAGAGAAATTTCTTGTTTAATATAATAATGATATTTGTCCGTTACAATGCAAAAAATTGCCATGAACATACATATTATCAAGGTTAATAAGTCAAGAAAGTTACAAGAATTTGAAACATGAACAATTACAAGTGGTGAGAAAGTTAAATAGCAGGTTTAAATTTTATAAAATTCAACAACTGCAAAGAGATCAGTTCTTAAAAGAGATGAGTTGAAGCATGAAGCTAACAAGAAAAGCATTTAGATGATGACTATGAATTTATTAACACAAGAATATCTTATTAAGTCTAAACTATAGCGTAGTTAAGCTAGTTGTTGTGTGTTTTCCATTCAATTAGTAAATGCCTTCTTTTTTGATGCAAGCTATTCTTCTATTATATTGCCCCCTTTTTTTCTTTAGAAATTTTTCGGCTTGTGTAATATACATTAATGTTTCATGGAAGCTTCATATTGAAAATAAAATATAAAATAAAAATTAAAACAACTGATGTATATATTTTGTGAAGATGCACAAGATAGAATATTGTGATTTAATATGGCACATGTAAAAGTGGTTTAATGATCAATATACATGGCTCAAGGTTATAAAATTCATTTCTTTTATTAAAAAAAAAAAATCAGCTCAGCTCATTTTTATTTCATTTCAACCGCCAATAATATTTTTTTTATTTATAATAATAGATTGATTTATTAATGAAACATCCATTCAAATAATGGTAGGGAGAAACACAATGAATTAAAAAAAAAAACTAAAGAAAAAAAATTAAAAACAAGTCTGATTACAGTATATCAGGATCATCAAAATCTAATAAGCTTTATTCCTTGCACGTTTCCTGTCTATGTTTATTCAGAGATAAATGCTTTCAGCACTGCGAATGAAATCCAGTATAGGTCTTGATTTAGCTAGTCCTACCAGGTCTGGTTGTTAGAATTTGAGCCATAGTATTCAGCATTTTGCATTGCAGTTTTTGACTCAAGCTCATCATCTTGAGGCAGGAAGCCCGATATTTCAAGCTCCATGCCAAACATAAACACTTCAACAAATTATTAACAATCCAGGCAGAGAAATTATGTAGCTTCAATTCTTCACGTAGGCTGGTTGTTACATCCCCATTTCCCTTTCAGTACCAAAATACGTGCTCTTGTGATTTCATGTATCTAAGTTAACAGAAGCACTTGGGTAAAGTTTGACTACAGAAAGTATCATTTGAAAGGTTTTTTCTGCTCAATAAACCGGAACCGATAAATTTGAACCCTACGTGTGACTCCCTGTGAGTTAGCTGACTAGAATTAAATTACCTAGCTGAGATACAGAGAGAAAGAGAGAGGAGAGGGAGACACGAAGAAAATGGACTGTGTAAGAGCTTATTTTGCATGTGCTCGTTGATAACCTGGGTTTATTTTGTGCATGTGTATACTTAATGACTTATTGTAAGTGATGGATGCAGGAGAAACTTGATTTGATGATTTGCAGATGCAGGATTTCAGAAGGTTGAGTATGAGAATCTTGTTGGGGGAGCTGTAGCCATTCATTCAGGCTTATATATATATATATATATGTAAGGTGCTCAAGGACAAACCTTTTTGTCTCAGATTTTTCATAAATAATTCATCTGCAGAGACTTTGACAGCACACCAATTATCCTCTTTCTTGTCTATTTAGACATTCAATTCGGAGGACTAATGCATTTTTTGTTTGGTGTTGTTCTTGAATAAATGACTACTAATCTTGTTTTTCTTTTTTTTTCCCTTCTCTCTCTCGCTGTTTT